AAAAATGATCATTTACCAACCAAATATACCAGCCGGAAGAGAAAATACGTGGCTTGATATCACCGTGACTGAACAGGCACAAGTATGCAAGCTGCCCTCAGTAATTAAATCTGCTTATATGTTCCATAGCAGTGTTTCTGAACCAGGGTGCCATTTGGGTTCCCTCAGGGTGCTGCAAGCACAACACCCTATTTTTCCCTGGATCGATGGGATGGATAGATAGATAGATAGATAGATAGATAGATAGATAGATAGATAGATAGAATCTGTGATGGGGGGGGTTCTCTATGGTAATATGGGACTCTTCTTTGATGATGGGACTCGGTCATGTGGATACTCTGATGCGATGGGGGCTCCCATGTATAGGGGGGACTCTGATGTGATGAGTCGCCTCTCACTCTGTGATGGGGGTGATTTTGTGGTGATGGGAGCCTCTGATGTACAGGGGGGACTTTGATATGATGGGGAGACTCTGGAGTGAAGGGGACTCTGATGTGAAGGGGGGCCTGATGTGAAAGGGTGGCTCTGAAGTGATAGGGGGACCTTCACATATGGTTTCCTATTGATTTTAAATGTTATCCTGGGGTGCCTCCAGATTTGTTCATACTTTTTAAGGGAGTTGCCGCTAAAAAAAAAGGTTGTAAAACACTATTTCAAAAAATTCTCCTTCCTAAAAAAAGACAATTGAGAATTCAGTATTCAGTGTTTTTAATTCAATAAAATGACACCTGACTAGTACATGTGGATAATAGAACTCAGGAAAAATCATTATTCCTGTTGTAATTCTTTATTAAATATGACAATAATGTCCTAGCTCTGAGATGCCAGTAAGCTTTATATGGGTGCAGGGCTGTATTTGGACATCATGCTGTCTAGGTACACGTAAATGATGACAACCTATTGTGTAAGCTCTGCCCATTGTGTCAAGTGATATTTGAGCAGCATCTACTAGTAGAATGAGCTTTTGGAGGGATCAAATGTACTGCTTTATAAGCAGAACTTTTTATTTTAACCATACAGACCAAAAAGCAAGTGAAAGGAAAACGGTTTGATATTTCATGAACTATAAAGAACTTTCTGACTCCTCTGAACATCCTTATTTATCACAATTTTTAAATTTTGAGGCTTGGTGTTACATGCTTTAACTCTGCTGCCCTGGGAATTGGCCCAAAAATGCTCTATTGAAAATAATTCCTATGTGGGTGTTATGGTGTATCTAAAGCAAAATTTTATTTTAGTTTTGGATCGAGTGGTGAGTAGCTAGAACCCCTGTCAGTTTTTTATTGCTGTCTGTGTCCCCGATAAGGAGATACACTTGCTTGATTTGTCCTGGTGACCAGTGTCACAAAGACTGAAAGTAAGGGAAATTTATGAGTTGCTATTAGAACAGGGAGAGTGTGGAAATCTTCCATTGGGGACACTTGTTCCTATGATAAATGTAATTTCCTTCACTTTGGAAAATTTTACTCTCACTTCCTGCTATGTCGAAAGAAAAGGAAGTGAAGGGAAGTTTTCCCAACTGGCCAAAGATGGAAAAGTTATAAAAGAAGACTTACGGGAGATCTGTGACAAACTCAGGGCCCATCCAGCCAGTGTCTTCCCAGGTTAGCTCAGGCCGCTTCTCGATTTCCTCTAAGATACACTTCCTCTAGGAAACATGACTACATATATTTAAAACCTGAAACCACATCAGTGAAATGTAACTGAATTAATAACATAATATTTCTTACAAGACTTTTGCGCAGACCACTAGGTATCCCTTGAAGATATTTAACCACATCTCTGATATCTGAAAGAGAGTGAAGTTGCTGCAGGTTGTCACATTCAATTCCATTAGCCAAAGTCCCAAGGGTCCTAATTACAATGAAAGCACATAAAAAATGTTATTGTTGTAGTCCATTGTTGATCTTTAGGGCTCATTCATTTAGCTGATTTGGGCCATACAATGGCAAGAATCAGCATTTATCTGAGGCAAGTAAGCACAGACCGTGTCCAGGTCCGCTCATGTGTCCCTAATTGCCATTCAGATGTGCGGTTACATGTGAACAGCCATAGTGCCTGCCATTTATTTGTACAGGCTGCTGACTATAGCTGATCATACATTTCTAAAAAATAAAGGTTAATTATTCTGGGGTCCAAGACAACAACTAGGACAAGGAGAGCTTAAAGAAGAATTGCAGGTAAGGCTGGCCACACATTATACAATTATCTGGAGATTTTTGGTTTAGATTTACCAAAAACCATATAATAGGAGGACAAACCTAAACAACACTTTCAGTTGTATCCAATTAGGCAGGCCCTTGCACTACACAGTTGAAGGTAAATCTAAAGGAAACTGGGCAGAAAATTGTAAGATAATTGTATAATGTATGGCCAGCCTAAGGATAGTTTTACATTCCACAGACATATTGGTAGGATAAATGGCTCTACTGAGCATGCCCAAGATGGCTCTCTGGCCATCAGCTCCAACAGCAGATAAAGACCCTAGGCAGAAAAGCACTATAGAAATGTATAAATTATATCATAAAGTAGAAGTAAACACAAAACTGTAAAATGTAACATCGGAGAGATTTAGGAGAATGTCAAATGCAATAGCAATTGTCCAAAAACGTGTTTTAACTCTATTGCTTAATTACCCCATTCCAACACTTCTTCCCCTAGCTTATTTCTTTAAAGCAGACCTGTCACAAACTTACAGCTGCAGTTAGATATAGATGTTTGCATACAATGTAACTATGCATATGTTATACCTGTGGGGTCCCTCTGTAAGCTGGAAATCAATGTAACAGATACTGCTACCCTAGTGACTTCCACTAACTTCCAGGTCCTGCGTCGAGTGGCTGCACTGCTGTATTGTGAATAGAGATGAGCGAATTATTCAAAAATTCGATTCGACTGATTCGGCGAATTCGTGAAAAAAATTTCGATTCGAGTCGAATATATTCGCTGCGAATTTAACTTATAAAAGGGTGTTTCTAGGCTTCAGAGAGCCTTTATATTAGTGCAGAACACTGTACCTTTAATTTAAATGCCCTTGGAGTCTGCTGGGGAAGAGAAATAATACTGACAGTCAGTATGACATGCAGATGAGTGCCATCGATCTTAGAATCACCGCACACTTCACTCATTTGGGCAGTCACGGGGCCAAAACCAGAGTGTGGAGCCACAGTGTGGCGGTGGAGGCAGCAGCAATGGGAGGCCATACAGCACCCTATGACAAAAATGGAAACCACCAGCAGTGTGAGGAGACCTGAAAGTGGCACATGGCAGAGTGTGGCGATGGAGACAGCAGCAATGGGAGGCCGTACAGGGACCCATGACACACTCTGGACCTGGCAGGAGCATGAGGAGGCGGTACAGGGGCCCATGACAGATTACGGGCCTGGCAGCAGAATGAGGAGTTGGTACAGGGGCCCATGGCAGATTACAGGCCTGGCAGCAGCAATGGGAGGCCGTACAGGGACCCATGACACACTCTGGACCTGGCAGCAGCATGAGGAGGCGGTACAGGGGCCCATGACAGATTACGGGCCTGGCAGCAGCATGAGGAGGCGGTACAGGGGCCCATGACAGATTACGGGCCTGGCAGCAGCATGAGGAGGCGGTACTGGGGCCCATAGCAAATTACGGGCCTGGCAGCAGCAATGGGAGGCCCGTAATCTGCCAGCACCCTATGACAAAAAATGGAACACACCAGCAGTGTGAGGAGACCTGAAAGTGGCACATGGCAGAGTGTGGCGTTGGAGACAGCAGCAATGGGAGGCGGTTCAGGGACCCATGAGACACTGTGGACCTGGCAGCAGCATGAGGAGGCGGTACAGGGGCCCATGGCAGATTAAGGCCTGGCAGCAGCAATGGGAGGCCCGTAATCTGCCAGCACCCTATGACAAAATGGAACCCTGGGCAGGGGCAGGCAGAACCGCCGTATCTTTATCATGGTTTTCCCAGGCCACCGAATGGCGACGCTGCATATGCTGACGCAACGCTGTAGTCCCAACATGGGCCCCCTGGCCACGCTTGACTTTCTGGCCACATAGTCGACATACGGCTACTTCCTCGGGCGGCTTGACGAAAAATTGCCACACCGCCGAGTAGGAAACTTTGCCCCCGCTACTCCTCACTGGCTGACTGCTACTTCCTCCGTGCACACCGGCACCACTACTGGCCGTGGTGGTAGGCTGCAGTGGAGCTGGTGCTGTACTCCGTGGCCGTTTGCCTCCACTGACACTACTGCGACCCTGCTGCCTCCTGGCAGCAGCAATGGGAGGCCGTACAGGGACCCATGACACACTCTGGACCTGGCAGCAGCATGAGGAGGCGGTACAGGGGCCCATGGCAGATTACGGGCCTGGCAGCAGCAATGGGAGGCCCGTAATCTGCCAGCACCCTATGACAAAAAATGGAACACACCAGCAGTGTCAGGAGACCTGAAAGTGGCACATGGCATGAGACACTGTGGACCTGACAGCAGCATGAGGAGGCGGTACAGGGGCCCATGGCAGATTAGGGGCCTGGCAGCAGCAATGGGAGGCCCGTAATCTGCCAGCACCCTATGACAAAAAATGGAACACACCAGCAGTGTGAGGAGACCTGAAAGTGGCACATGGCATGAGACACTGTGGACCTGGCAGCAGCATGAGGAGGCGGTACAGGGGCCCATGGCAGATTAGGGGCCTGGCAGCAGCTATGGGAGGCCCGTATCTGCCAGCACCCTATGACAAAAAATGGAACACACCAGCAGTGTGTGAGGAGACCTGAAAGTGGCACATGGCAGAGTGTGGCGATGGAGACAGCAGCAATGGGAGGCCGTACAGGGACCCATGAGAGACTCTGGACCTGGCAGCAGCATGAGGAGGCGGTACAGGGGCCCATGGCAGATTAGGGGCCTGGCAGCAGCAATGGGAGGCCCGTAATCTGCCAGCACCCTATGACAAAAAATGGAACACACCAGCAGTGTGTGAGGAAACCTGAAAGTGGCACATGGCAGAGTGTCGCGATGGAGACAGCAGCAATGGGAGGCCGTACAGGGACCCATGAGACACTGTGGACCTGGCAGCAGCATGAGGAGGCGGTACAGGGGCCCATGGCAGATTAGGGGCCTGGCAGCAGCAATGGGAGGCCCGTAATCTGCCAGCACCCTATGACAAAAAATGGAACACACCAGCAGTGTGAGGAGACCTGAAAGTGGCACATGGCATGAGACACTGTGGACCTGGCAGCAGCATGAGGAGGCGGTACAGGGGCCCATGGCAGATTAGGGGCCTGGCAGCAGCTATGGGAGGCCCGTAATCTGCCAGCACCCTATGACAAAAAATGGAACACACCAGCAGTGTGTGAGGAGACCTGAAAGTGGCACATGGCAGAGTGTGGCGATGGAGACAGCAGCAATGGGAGGCCGTACAGGGACCCATGAGAGACTCTGGACCTGGCAGCAGCATGAGGAGGCGGTACAGGGGCCCATGGCAGATTACGGGCCTGGCAGCAGCAATGGGAGGCCCGTAATCTGCCAGCACCCTATGACAAAAAATGGGACACACCAGCAGTGTGAGGAGACCTGAAAGTGGCACATGGCATGAGACACTGTGGACCTGGAAACAGCATGAGGAGGCGGTACAGGGGCCCATGGCAGATTAGGGGCCTGGCAGCAGCAATGGGAGGCCCGTAATCTGCCAGCACCCTATGACAAAAAATGGAAACACACCAGCAGTGTGAGGAGACCTGAAAGTGGCACATGGCATGAGACACTGTGGACCTGGCAGCAGCATGAGGAGGCGGTACAGGGGCCCATGGCAGATTAGGGGCCTGGCAGCAGCTATGGGAGGCCCGTAATCTGCCAGCACCCTATGACAAAAAATGGAACACACCAGCAGTGTGTGAGGAGACCTGAAAGTGGCACATGGCAGAGTGTGGCGATGGAGACAGCAGCAATGGGAGGCCATACAGGGACCCATGAGAGACTCTGGACCTGGCAGCAGCATGAGGAGGCGGTCCAGGGGCCCATGGCAGATTAGGGGCCTGGCAGCAGCTATGGGAGGCCCGTAATCTGCCAGCACCCTATGACAAAAAATGGAACACACCAGCAGTGTGTGAGGAGACCTGAAAGTGGCACATGGCAGAGTGTCGCGATGGAGACAGCAGCAATGGGAGGCCGTACAGGGACCCATGAGACACTGTGGACCTGGCAGCAGCATGATGAGGAGGCAGTACAGGGGCCCATGGCAGATTAGGGGCCTGGCAGCAGCAATGGGAGGCCCGTAATCTGCCAGCACCCTATGACAAAAAATGGAACACACCAGCAGTGTGAGGAGACCTGAAAGTGGCACATGGCATGAGACACTGTGGACCTGGCAGCAGCATGAGGAGGCGGTACAGGGGCCCATGGCAGATTAGGGGCCTGGCAGCAGCTATGGGAGGCCCGTAATCTGCCAGCACCCTATGACAAAAAATGGAACACACCAGCAGTGTGTGAGGAGACCTGAAAGTGGCACATGGCAGAGTGTGGCGATGGAGACAGCAGCAGCAATGGGAGGCCGTACAGGGACCCATGAGAGACTCTGGACCTGGCAGCAGCATGAGGAGGCGGTATAGGGGCCCATGGCAGATTAGGGGCCTGGCAGCAGCAATGGGAGGCCCGTAATCTGCCAGCACCCTATGACAAAAAATGGAACACACCAGCAGTGTGAGGAGACCTGAAAGTGGCACATGTTTGGGGCATGATTCATGGCGGATTTAGTCAGTTGTGTCAGGAACTGGTGGTTTGAAATCCAGACTAATCCACGCCTGATTCATTTTCACAAACGTGAGTCTCTCCACACTTTGGGTGGACAGTCGTGTCCTCCGCGGAGTTACAATACCTCCTGCCGCACTAAACACGCGCTCCGATGCCACGCTACTGGCCGGGCATGACAGCCTTTCAAGGGCAAATTCAGCTAGTTGGGGCCAAAGGTCAAGTTTCGTTGCCCAGTAGTCAAGGGGATTGTCTACCTCGGTTGGCAGGGTGCTGTCCAAGTAGGCCCAAGCCTGTTGTTTGAGGTCCTGCTCCAGGTCCACCTGATGCTGCTGCTGCTGCGGCTGGTTAGTAGTTTCCTCACTGCGCTGGTGAAGAAAGCTACTCATCATCGACTGCAGACTGAGGCAGCTGCTGCTGGTGGAGCTGCCACTGCTCCTACCACCCCACCCCCTCCCCTGCTGCCATGGCAGCGGAACGCGAGCGCACAGGGCCCACAGTGTCTGAGGATGGACGTTGGCGCACAAAGGCAGAGACCAACTGACTACATAGGTGGTTTTTATAGTACGTTATTTTGGCCTCCCTCTCAGCAGGTGTGAAAAAGGCCACCATTTTTGAACGGTAGCGAGGGTCCAACAAGGGTGGACAGCCAAAAGTCATCCCTCTGTCTGATGGTTATTATTCGGCTGTCGCTACGCAAGCAACCGAGCATGCTATGGGCCATTTGTGCCAAGGAATGCGAGGGACTCCCTGCCTCCATCTCCACAGCATACTGCCACGGTGCGTCTGGGTCCTCTGTCTCCTCCCTCCTCTACCAGATGCTCCTGCTCCTCCACTCCTGTCCGCTGAGTGGAAAAACCACCCATTTCACTCAATAATTCCTGAGCACAAATGTCCTCCTCTACCTCCTCCTCTTCTTCCTGTCCTGCTGCCCCACAGGGGTCATGTGGCGTTGAGATCTGTGCGCCACGTCTACCGCACCCTGACCAGCCATTGTTAACAGCATTTGTTCCAGGACGTGCAACAGAGGAATGACGTCGTTCATCCCATAGTCCTGCCGACTCACGAATAGCGTGGCCTCCTCAAAGGGCCTGAGCAAGCGGCAGGTGTCACGCATGAGCTGCCAATGGCTGACATCGAAGTTACACAGGGGAGTACCTTTATCTGCTTGTAACATCAGGAAATCGGTGATGGCCTTTCGCTGTTCGTAAAGGCGGTCTAACATGTGTAGGGTTGAATTACCACCTTGTTGCAACGTCGCAGATCAGGCGATGCTGTGGAATTCCATTCTGCCGCTGCAGCTCAAAGGAGGTGTGTGCTTTGCGGTGTAGGAATGGCTGAAATGCATGCAAAGTTTACGTGACATTTTAAGGATGTCTTGCAGTGGGATGGTGGATTTTAGAACCGCTTGACAACCAGATTGAACACGTGAGCCATGCATGGCGCATGGCACAACCTTCCTTTACGCAGAGCAGACACCATGTTCTTTCCGTTGTCGGTCAACATGGTTCCGATTTTCAGTTTGCGCGGAGACAGCCATCTGTCGATTTCTCTGTTCATTACACTGAGAAGTTCCTCCCCTGTGTGACTATGTTCGCCAAGGCATACCAGGTGCAGCACAGCGTGACACCGTTGCGCCCTGCACATGTGATATGCCGGTCGGGTAATGGGACTTGGCACGGGGGTGGCGGCTGAGGACACGGCGGAAGAAGAGGTGGTAGAGGCGGACATCTTTGCCGGACCAAGGACGTGCAAAACGTGGAGGCAAAAGCGGCGTGACCTGTCCAAGTTGCTGGTGCGGCTGTGACGGCACCACGTTCACCCAGTGGGCCGTAAATGACATGTACTGTCCCTGACCGTAGTTACAGCTCCACACGTCGCGCGCTGCCGTGCACTTTGGCAGAGACCGACATGCTCAAAGACTGGCCCACCATCTCTTCTACATGTGAATGCAGGGCTGGCACTGCCTTTTTGGCGAAGAAATGATGGCTTTGACACTCTCCACCGCGGCGCGGCACAAGCCATCATTTCTCGGAAAGGTGCTGAGTCCACCACTTGGAAAGGGAGGGACTGCAGCACCAGCAACTTGGACAGGAGGACGTTCAGCTTTTGCACCGTCGGGTGCGTGCTCGCAAACTGTTGTCTCTTGGAAACGGATTCCAAGAAAGACTGCTGACGGAATCCGTGAAGAGGAGTAGCAGGAGAAGGAGCATCAGAACGAGCGGAAGATGCCAACGAGCGACAACTCCCCTCAGCAGAGGTGTTGGAGCCTTGACTGGCTGATAGAGGGCGATTGACGTCGGGTGACGGAGCAGCAAGTAACGGGAGCGGGTGATGGAGCGGGGGCTGGGGGGCTGGGGCAGGCAGAACCGCCGTATCTTTATCACGGTTTTCCCAGGCCACCAAATGGCGACGCTGCATATGCTGACGCAACGCTGTAGTCCCAACATGGGCCCCCTGGCCACGCTTGACTTTCTGGCCACATAGTCGACATACGGCTACGTTTACTTCCTCGGGCGGCTTGACAAAAAATTGCCACACTGCCGAGTAGGAAACTTTGCCCCCGATACTCCTCACTGGCTGACTGCTGCTTCCTCCGTGCACACCGGCACCACTACTGGGCGTGGTGGTAGGCTGCAGTGGAGCTGGTGCTGTACTCCGTGGCCGTTTGCCTCCACTGACACTGCTGCGACCCTGCTACCTCCTGGGCAACCCTACCGACTGTTTTGCTCACTGCCAAGCTGCCACCTCTTCTCCTGATGATGCGGAAGCAATAGCCTGATGACAACGAGGCTGCCAAGTGCGATCAGCCTCATCATCATCAATTAGGGTCTCCGCCTCACTACTAGCCCCCTCGGCTGCGTGTGGGTCAGGAGACAGACCTGTCTCTAGACCGGCTACCGAGCCACTCTCCTCGCCACTACTTCTTCGCCTGGCTGCTGAAGAGGCGGATGTCTCTCCCCCCGTTCCTGACCGCCCTCTGTTAGCTCTTCCTCACTGTACAGTGGGGCTGAGCCCACAGCATGCGATACTTCGCTTGGTGAGGGAACACCAAAGGACAGGGGCAGGTAGAGGACACGTGATTTCAGTGGGCTTGCTCCCGGGCCATGCCAACTAACGGTTGTGTCTGACGTACCCACCGACCGTTGGCTGTAGGTGTCAGAGGTGACCTGGGAAGAGAAGACGACCCCGAGCCAACCAATCGATGACGGCAGGGTTGTCGGTGGAGACACGACCGCTGGATGACACCGGGAGCACTGGCCTCTGGCTGCGACTAGTGCTGCCCTCGACCCCTTCCTCTGCTGCCACGTCTGCTCGCTCCTAAAACATTGCCTCCTCTGCCACTCCTCTGCATGTTGTCTGACATACTCTTTAATTAAACGATTCTGTGTCCCTGAGTAACAATTCTGTGTCTGTCCCTGAGTAACAATTCTGTGTCCCTGAGTAACAATTCTGTGTCCCTCAGTAACAATTCTGTGTCCCTCAGTAACAATTCTGTGTCCCTCAGTAACAATTCTGTGTCCCTGAGTAACAATTCTGTGTCCCTCAGTAACAATTTCTGTGTCCCTCAGTAACAATTCTGTATCTGTCCCTGAGTAACAATTCTGTGTCTGTAACAATTCTGTCTGTCCCTGAGTAACAATTTCTGTGTCCCTCAGTAACAATTCTGTGTCTCCCTCAGTAACAATTCTGTGTCTGTCCCTGAGTAACAA